TACTGAAAACAGACCCTGAGGCAAATTCCCTGACCAGGCCCAGGGAACATGCTAGTACTTCTCAGCGAGATGGGCCAGGTCCTTCTCTGGCTACACCCAACATCTGGCCTGCTGCAGGAAGGCCCACGTTGCTACTCCCATGAGTTTCCATAGCCCACATCATGTTGCCACACTACCCTTCTGAGGAAAGACCTGCCAACTGGCTTTGGGAACTGCACACTTATTAAACAAGGTTGCCAAAAGAGACACCCAAGGAGCACCAACTCCACATCTGAAGTGGCCTCCAAATTCCCACTGATGACTTTTGGCAGTTGAAGCTAAAAGCAGTGGTCTACAGTGGTCTGTGGTCATGGAGGCTGGTTTATAGTGATATGCTCACAGGGTAAGACTTAAAAGGAGGCAGGGGCAGGCAGACAGATGAGCTCTCTTTTCCTTAACAATGTGCTTAAATGGAATGGATATTTATATTCCACCTTTTCTCAAATCTCATATTTGAAATCATTTATGAGATTAATAAATGATTAGGTCCAAGGAATGGAGAGGCAAAAATAAGCTGTTTAGAAGAGCTTATGAAATTGCTGATTGTGCAAGGCTTGGCTCTGAGCTTCCTGGCAGCTGGGACCATAAGTAGTGAGCTGAGTCTCTTAGCTTTAAGCATCTTCTGGGAAACAGATACTGTCCCAGATCTCACTTTTTAAGGATCCCTGACAGAGTTCACAGGATGCAGATTTAGAATGTATTTGGAACTGGAAAAGAAAAGATAGAGAAAATGGGAAGGAAGAAGGAGCGAGGGCCCCAAGATAGAGTTCAACCTGTCTTTAAGAGGTAACTCCTCAGGGCCACTCTAGACCTCTAAATATGTACTGGGTTTATGGAACATAGAGAGTTCTTATGGGATGTTGCACAACCTCAGAGTGGGCAAGGGACAAGGACATCAAGAGATCAAACACCTGATTCCATACCACTCACACCCATGTGCCTTTAGGCCAGCCAGTTGCCAAGTGAGGCCCCTTTGTCCTCCTGTCCTCTTCCCTCTGTTGACAGATCTGTCCCTGCCCCTTTTCTCAAGTGGCAGGATCTCCTCCAAAGAGCCCGCTTACACATTGGTGAGTCATTTCTCTCTTTCCTGATGTGTTCAAGCTGTGCAGACCCAACTACTGCTGCATTGGAATAAATGACTGCTAAATGATCCAGAAAGTTGGTGGTTACAACTGCTCTAATGTTACATTTGAAAAAAAATCCCAAAGCTGGAAGTGGTACAGAAACTGTGGTTGAGATTATAGGTGTGAGCCACCATGCCTGGCTAGAATTTTTTTTTGGTACTGGAGTTTGAACTCAGGGTTTCACACTTGCTAGGCAGGCACTTTACCCCATGAGTCATTCCACCAGCCTCCAGCTAGAATTCTTGCAATATAAAACATTATAATTCCATTAGGGAGCTCCTTAGAGCCTCCTTTCTAAAAACGTTCTCCTTGCTGCATTAATGAGGAGCTCCTAACGGATGTGAGATCTGGGTTCCCAACTCTGCTTCTGGGAAACCCAAGGTAGCCCCAGACTCCCACCTCTGCAGCTCTGTTGCTCTCTGTTTTACATACTGGGTTTTGCATAAGATACCATGTGCTAGAGGTGGGGAAACAGGTGTCAACATCCTGAGATGGGGCTCATCTGCAGGACATTGCTCTCAAGTGCTTCCCAAACATCTGGTAGATGCTTGCCAGATTCTTCATTTTTGGCCTAGTTTTCTTTGGGGCTAGAAGCTTATGTATGAGGAGCTTGGGCTATCGTCTGTGGCACTCACCCACTTGGGACTAGAAGCCTACTGTGCAACATAGCATGGTAAAATCATGTTCTTCTGCATTCAACTGTGAGGGCCAGCCTAAGGTGGTCCCTGGAAAGGGTACATGCTTCCACGTGGTATGAAAAAGAACAAAGGTGTGTGAGGGCAGCAGGATGACAGGGAAGAAGGTTCCTTTCCCACTGCCCAGCATTCAGCTTCCTGGTCTCACATGCCTCCTATAAAGCAATGACCTTTTACACTCCACTTCCTGCTCCTCCACCAGATCCAGACTCACAATCTGCCGCTCACTTGGCATGGCTCTCTCTATAATGTAGGGGCAGTTTGGCCACAGAAAGCCTTGATTTTTCCTCTTAAATTGGCTCCCACGAGACATGGAAGGCATGCTCTGTGATCAATCCCCATTTATCAGCTCTTTTCAATAGTACTCAGTGTGGCTGATCATGAGTGACACATGGGAGCTTTCAAGTGTCCCAGCCTGGATTAGTTGAATCTCTGCGGGTAGGGACCAGACATCAGTACTGTTTAAAAGCTCTCCAAGGGATTCTCTGGTGCAGCCAGGCTTGAGAACTAGTGGATTAAAATATGCACCAAACCAACAGCTTCTTTCTAGTTTCACTGTTACCACCTTGCTATGAGTTACTGCCATGCCTTATCTAGACATTACAATACCCTGAGTCCCCTGCTTCTGTTTGTTCCAGCTTGAACCTCCAGTGCAAGTTCAATGCCTGATCACTTAGAATAGAGACCAAGGGTCTCAGGAGGCCTCCAGGGCCCTGTACAACCCAGCCTCTGCAGCCCTTTCCACCTCTTCTAGCCCCTCTTGCCCCACTCATGTTTCAGTCACACTGGCTTTCGTTCCGATTCTTGAACATGCCATGCCGGCTCCTGTTTTGGGCCTTGTACCTATACGCTCTACTCTGCCTGGAAAGATTTGACTGCAGGTCTTCATTTCCTGGGCTTGCAGCTTCATGTCACTCAGGTCATTCAAACAGCATCACCACGGAGAGGCCTTCTGGGGTTACCTTGATCTAAAGAAGCCTCCTTTAAGGTCACCACATCATCCCAGTCATATTGTTTTCCTATCTTTACAGCACTTACCACTTTCTGAAATCACATCATTCAGTCTCAATAGAATGTGAGCTTCAATTGGAGCCCGGCCCTCCAATAGAATGTGAGCTTCAAAAGGACCAGGAGTTTTGTCTATCTTGCTCTCAACTGTACCCACTGTTGAAGGAACCTCTCATAGAGCAGGCACTTGATAAGCACAGCCATTAATTTCATTCCATCCATCAGTCCCTGCAGGGCTCCTCTGTACTACTACCACAACAATCCTTGTACATGACAACTTGAACTTGTTGCTTTTTTTTTGGTGCGGGGGAGATGGAGGGACAGTACTGAGGTTTGAACTTATTTTTCCAGATACAGTCTCTTGCTTTTTGCTTGGGCTGGCCTTAGATTGTGATCTTCATACCTATGCCTCCTTGTAGCTAGGATTGTAAGTGTGTACTGCCATACCAGGCTTATTTTGTTGCAATGTGGTCTTTGTCCAACTGGCCTAGGCTGCGATCCTCCTGATTTCTACCTTCCAAGTAGCTAGAATTACAGATGAGAGTCCTTGTACTAGTCACTCTTTTGTGACAATCCTCAGGGGCTCTAGATTACCCCTCATCACCCAACTCCTACCCTCCTTTTTTAGCATCCATCCACACTATCAACCCAAATCCATTTTCCTCCTCAAGTCCCACATTTCCCAACAACTCCTGGCTGCCTAGAGGAGCCACACTCCTGTATGCCTATGTCCTTGCACATTCTGCTCCCTCTGCCTGGAATGTCCCCTGTGTCCTATCCTACCACCCTCCATCTCCTCTGCCAAGAACTATCACTCTGGTGAGAACTAACTCAGGTATCACCTACTTCACAGTCACCTCTACCTAGATTGGCTAATATCCCCTCCCTTGTTTTTCCACCAAAAACCATTCTACCTTCTGCCATACCCTACATCACATGGGACTATCCTCACGTGCCTTCCCTAGACAAAGGGCACTTTGAGGAAAGAACAGTGCTGGGGGCTCAGTAGGCACTAAACCATCAGATAAGCAAAATAATGTCATTTATTCCCATTTCCCCATAGCAAGGGCATCATAAAACTTTCTGAATCAATCCTTAACTTGTTTTCTATATGACCAAGCTGATACTGCTGGGAAAACTCTCATGCCCTTGTTTTGGGGGGACTTTGAGTGCCTTTACATCACTTCCTTTAGGTGATGATGGCTCAGTGACCCATAAGCAGCCATCTCCCCAGGTACATTCATAGAGGAGGGCTGTCTGGACCAGTCACTGACATGTAACTAGCGAGGAAAGCTGCCTTCCCCCAGCACAGAGTAACAACCCACCACCTGAACCAACAGGAAATAGAGCTATTGGAGAAGGAAACTAGCTCAGGACCCCATCATCTTTATTGTGCTTTCCGGGGCTCACAGAAACAAAATTTGTGTGGTCAGAGCCTCTGCTGTTACCAGAGCTTTCTCTTTCCTAATTTAAACACATATACCCAGCACTGAAACAATTAAGCCACAGGAGGTCTTTATCAAATAATGCACTCTCTGGATTTTCCATACAAGATAATGAACAGGAAAGAGGGTTTAATTCTAGGGTGCAAAGATGTTTAACAGTCACTTGCATAAGTTGGTATATTTAGCTAAGTCCCTGAGCAGATTGTCACCGCTTTACCCAGACATTCACCAACAGGCACTTGCTTGAAACTGGCTCACCCAGTTTTTCAGGAAAAGAGGGAGCAGGGGTTCTTGGATGTGGCTTTCATGTCAAGCTCACTAGCTCCAGTCCTATCTTCACCATCTTTCACCTTCAACCCCGAGCATGCTTTCTGCTCCAACCCTATGGTTATCTGGCTGCACCTTTCCAATCAGAGGCCAGGTTCCCCCCAGACCAAACTCCTCCCACAGGAGGCTCAACTAATGTATACGGCAATGTGCATACTGTACCATTCAGCCAAGACAGATAAACTGTAGTAGATGTGGCCCCTCTTCCCTGACAAGAGCCCCACAGAATTCTAACAAAGGGGGCCCACTGTTCTCCATATTCCCAAGGTCCTGGTGGGTAGGGGGGAGCATGCAGGCTGTGGCCATGCTGGGGCCAGATGAGGAGAGTGTGGGCTAGTCAAAACAAGCCCAGACATACTCACGGGGTCCGTCAGCATGGCCCGGCAGTGGGGACGCCAAGGCCAAGAAGGCCAGCAGGTTGAACACAGTTCGTTGATGACGCTGTACACGTAGTCTCGAGATGGAATCAGCATGACAAAGAGGACCACAAACTCCGCATAGAGGACCAGAAACCAGGTCACAATGGCACAGGCGATGCCACAGCCGTCACGGATAAACCACATGGTTCCCGCAGGACCAGGGTAGGGAGGTGGGACACACTTCTCCGGCTGAAGGTATTCTGGTTTCCGCTCAATGTTCGGAAGTGGTGGGGGATAAGCATCATAATTATTCTGTCCATACTGGCATCTGAAAGAGGCAAAAACCCAGAAACTAGATGTTGTCTTAGCATTAGGAGACTGGACAAAATGACCTTTCCGACGTGAGCCACACATATTTATGTGCAAACCTCCAGTAGAAATGCTGCTTTTTTACTTAAGATGTGAGTGGTGTGTCCCCTTCCACCGCAAGTCACTTTGCCTTCATGAAGCAAGATCTCCTTACTCCAAACCTTTACGAGACAGAAAATGAAGGAAAAGGGAGCCTCCAAAGGGCAATGCCTTGCCCAAAGTCAGCTGGAACAGAGCAGCTGGAGGTAAGACTAGAACCCAGTTCTCTCAGATATTAGGGTATCTGCGGAGACAGTGCTTCAATGGATCAGTTCAAATTTTGACAGAAAAGTCAAGGGTGTGGGAGTTGGAGGGGCAGCAAATGCTGGGGAAAAGCTTTCTTTTACAGGTACCCACTGCCTCTGACAATGAAATCCCAGAGTGGAGCTGAAGCTAACTGGGGCTCATGGGGGCTAGTCAGCTAGGACAAGTCCTAGGCCACAACCACTGAGACATTCTACCTTGCTGTACTGCATTGGCAGCAATAAAGATAAAACAGACAGTTATGAGTTGGAGGTGTAGCTCAAGAGGTACAGTGCTGCCTAGCAAGCATGAAGTCCCAAGTTCAAGCCCTGTAACAGCCAAAAGAAACCCCAAAAAACAGTGGCTAGGATGCAGAAAGTTCTTGAAACAGCCAAGTTTTTTTTTTTTAGCCAGTTGGCCAATGTTTTATTTTCCAGGGCCAAGAGACTCTCAGAGTACTGCTCACCCTGCAGGGGATGAGGCAAAGTATGGAAAATGTTGGACACTGAGCTCTAATGTGTTTTTTACCAGCTGGCTGTAGAGCTTTTGTGATTCCTCACTGTGAAAATACCTACATTCCATTGTCCTGGAATTCCATAGTGGGAAGGTCACCTTCTCCCACGATGGTTGGGGTAAGAGCTGATGGAGTTGTGGAAGTGTTTGTGATGAGTGACTGACATCAGAACACCTCACAGCTCACAGGCAGTGTGTGCATGCATGTTGTCTAGGAAAGACATCATTTCTTTAGAAAAAGTGCTGAGCAGGCAGTCTTTCTTAACAGCTGCAACTCCAGTCTCTGGAGACAGTATGGAAATAACTAAGAAGCACTGACTTAAGTCTACCTGTCCTCAGAACATGCTCCAAGACACAGAAAGCAGATTCCCCTCCTCTACTATATCTTAACCTCTTTGGCTTCTTGCATCACCAACCAGGTTCTCCATTAGAAACTGTGGTGGCTCTAGTTTACCACCAGCTGCAAGTGCCATGGAAAAGCCACCTGTAGCACAGGCTATGGAGCAGAAAAGTGACAACTCAGTCACTCAAGTCACTACAAAGGAAATCACTCAAAATAGCACTGGTTATGTTGCTTTCCTGAAGACTGAGCTCAGGAGGGGCAAGAGGGCTTTCAATGGCTGGGTTGGGCCTATCTTGACCATATATTATCTTCTTCCTCCAGTGCTTCACCCCCTACCAAAATCATCTGGATTGAATACAGAACAATCATGAAAGTTAAGGACAACTCCCAAAAGCTGAGGGCAGTACTGTAACAATTACTCAAAATGACAGACATTCTAGAGTCAAAAGTTGCACAGACAAACAATAAAAAATAAGACTCGGCCCCATCCCCAAAG